AATGTTTAACCGAGAGAGAGATCACAAACTCGCCGTTCACTCAACTCAAATTGAAAATATTTCCATCTAGTCTGCAGTGCAACTTCGTTGAAATATTTTCCATGACATACACAATACTCGCACAACTCTAGCTAGTTAACATTCATCACCTGACTGTCACAGTTTACAATCCTGATCAGATCACATAAAACCATTGGTCATATTTGAAAATATTATGCAGAATATGAAGTTGATAATAATGTGATAATAAATTGATGAAAATATTTTCAAATCACCAATAAAACCAACGAAACAACAACTCAATAAATACTAACTAACCCATCAAATGCCGCCTTAAATAAAATAAAGCTCAGCCATTTCAACCACAACAACATCAATGTCATATTACCTTACCTCATTATAATATTCTTATTATGCTTGCAATATCAACACCACTATCACACACTACTACCCATGAGTTGAACTTGAATGTTGAAGATGCTACATACATATCAATAGGCTGGAATGTATATCAACAGGTTGCGAAAGAATGTCATAAAATAAACGCTTTACTTACCCTCTGACTTCAAAGAGTGGCGGTACATCGTTGGCAGTCGCGTCCATTTTCGCGATCACCACGTCCTCCTTGGCTAACTTCTCGCCCAGCTCGTCGTATTTCGGTGCCAACGCCTTACAATGGCCACACCATGGAGCGTAGAACTCAATGAGCACATCCTTCTTCACGTCCATCACCATTTCCTTGAATGAACGCGCAACAACCACCTGCAAAATGCCACCAAAAATTGAATGCAACTAGCTAGAATCGATTGATGATGCATCCCAGAAACCAACATTCAAGTCATCCACATAAAACATTTGTTACTCTTTTGAAACTTTTGAAACAAAACACCTGATAAAGAAAACGCATTTGCGAATTCTATCTTCCAGTGTAAAACTCTCAATATCGATGATGTGTAAACGAACAACTGAATGAATGAATAACACAAATTTCACAAACTAACCAAAATTTCTGAAAACAAAAACTAAAAATGAAGTCACAACGAATCAAGTAATCACCAAAAGTAATCACAAAAGTAATTATTCCTACCTTAACGTCGCCTTGACTCTCTGGAATTGGTTCACTCTTCATATATGGCTCAATCTTTCCACCCAACACGTCTGCGACGAACTTCTTCAGATTATCCACACTAAACCATCAC